AATGTATGTGTTTTAGATTCGGTAACTGCGAAGCTTCGGTGTGTTTAAGCATGTTTATCTCTGTGACTGCGCTCACGCCTACAGTTTGTTTTCTAGGATTCAAAGCTGACTGGAAAAGCTGATTTTGTTAAATGTTTTTATCTTGTTTGTTTAGGTTCACACCGCTGAACTAAAGCTTCTAAATTAAACCCACATGGATCTGCATGTTGCTTGTTTATTGAACAGCGGCGCAGGCACCTGTCGTCCTGCGGCGTGTTGGTTCACTTGCAGCAAGTCCGATTTAGGCCGTTTGAGTTCAGCAGAGTGAACTGGTTTCTACTGTGACCAGTTTATTAGTCTTATGTGAGACTGCTTGAGGAAATATGAGCTGAGTACCAGCATCATTAATCTCTGTCCATTTAGTTGTGCTTTGCAGTGGTGGAATGTAAACTGTAAATATATTTATTCAAGTACTGTACTTAAGTACCTCTTTTGAGGTACTTGTACTCTGTTTGAGTATTCAAATATAGTGCTACTTTATACTTCTACTCCAGAGGCAAATGTTGTACTCTTTACTCCACTATATTGATTTGATAACTTAATTTACTAGTTACTACAGATTCAGATTATTAACAGATAATGTAATCAACAAATAAATCATGATTTATTATAGGTTAAGCTACTCATTGCTGCATAACCTCCTGAGACCTGAGCTTTTGGTTTGAATGCATTTTTTCTCCGAGCTATTTGGGATCAGTAGGATCTGACAAGTATAAAAAACTAAAGTCCCAGTGAACTAAAACGATACGATAATTCAGTCCCAATGTCTTCAAATGAGTACTTCCTAATTAACAGTGTCTTAGCCTGTTACCAAATTTGTTGCCATATCAAACTACAAATATTATTAATCATAAGTTTCAACCATTAAATAAGATCAGGTTTTGTCCACTTTTGTGTCGGGATCAGCTGCAGACTCACTTGGCAGAGATGGCTGCCATCTTGTTTGTACATGAATTGGTGTATTGTGCTCTTACTACCACTAGATGGCACAAAAAGCGTCCACAAATGAGGACAACAGGTCTGAGTTAAGCAGAATGAAGTATAAGGTGCAGGAAACCAAAAATGTGATTTCACATGAGGACACAGGGTCTCGGGAGGATATGCTAATGAAAATGAGCTCCACCTTTACCAGCTGCAACATTTAATGGATAGTTTGGACTTGCTGAAATAAATAGTAAATGGACTTGCACTTGTATGGCGCCTTTCTAGTCTTCTGTCCACTTAGAGTGATTTTTCTAACACTTTTTATCACATACACCCATTCACACACTGGTGGCCAAGGCTACTGTACAAGGTGCCACCTGCTACTCAGCTCTCACACATTCACACACTGATGGAACAGCCATCTGGAGCAATATGGGGTTCAGTGTCTTGCTCAAGGACACTTTGAGATGGGGACTGGAGGAGCTGGGGATGGAACTGCTGATTTTCCTATTGGTGGACGACCCGCTCTACTTCCTGAGCCATGGCCACCCCAAATGGGTTTGTATGAGGTACAGTACAGGCCAAAAGTTTGGACACACCTTCTCATTCAATGCGTTTTCTTTATTTTCATGATTATTTACATCGTAGATTCTCACTGAAGGCATCAAAACTATGAATGAACACATGTGGAGTTATGTACTTAACAAAAAAAGGTGAAATAACTGAAAACATGTTTTATATTCTAGTTTCTTCAAAATAGCCACCCTTTGCTCTGATTACTGCTTTGCACACTCTTGGCATTCTCTCCATGAGCTTCAAGAGGTAGTCACCTGAAATGGTTTCCACTTCACAGGTGTGCCGTATCAGGGTTAATTAGTGGAATTTCTTGCTTTATCAATGGGGTTGGGACCATCAGTTGTGTTGTGCAGAAGTCAGGTTAATACACAGCCGACAGCCCTATTGGACAACTGTTAAAATTCATATTATGGCAAGAACCAATCAGCTAACTAAAGAAAAACGAGTGGCCATCATTACTTTAAGAAATGAAGGTCAGTCAGTCCGGAAAATTGCAAAAACTTTAAATGTGTCCCCAAGTGGAGTCACAAAAACCATCAAGCGCTACAACGAAACTGGCACACATGAGGACCGACCCAGGAAAGGAAGACCAAGAGTCACCTCTGCTTCTGAGGATAAGTTCATCCGAGTCACCAGCCTCAGAAATGGCAAGTTAACAGCAGCTCAGATCAGAGACCAGATGAATGCCACACAGAGTTCTAGCAGCAGACCCATCTCTAGAACAACTGTTAAGAGGAGACTGCGCCAATCAGGCCTTCATGGTCAAATAGCTGCTAGGAAACCACTGCTAAGGAGAGGCAACAAGCAGAAGAGATTTGTTTGGGCCAAGAAACACAAGGAATGGACATTAGACCAGTGGAAATCTGTGCTTTGGTCTGATGAGTCCAAATTTGAGATCTTTGGTTCCAACCGCCGTGTCTTTGTGAGACGCAGAAAAGGTGAACGGATGGATTCCACATGCCTGGTTCCCACTGTGAAGCATGGAGGAGGAGGTGTGATGGTGTGGGGGTGTTTTGCTGGTGACACTGTTGGGGATTTATTCTAAATTGAAGGCACACTGAACTAGCATGGCTACCACAGCATCCTGCAGCGACATGCCATCCCATCCGGTTTGCATTTAGTTGGACGATCATTTATTTTTCAACAGGACAATGACCCCAAACACACCTCCAGGCTGTGTAAGGGCTATTTGACCAAGAAGGAGAGTGATGGAGTGCTGCGGCAGATGACCTGGCCTCCACAGTCACCGGACCTGAACCCAATCCAGATGGTTTGGGGTGAGCTGGACCGCAGAGTGAAGGCAAAGGGGCCAACAAGTGCTAAACACCTCTGGGATCTCCTTCAAGACTGTTGGAAAACCATTTCAGGTGACTACCTCTTGAAGCTCATTGAGTGAATGCCAAGAGTGTGCAAAGCAGTAATCAGAGCAAAGGGTGGCTATTTTGAAGAAACTAGAATATAAAACATGTTTTCAGTTATTTCACCTTTTTTTGTTAAGTACATAACTCCACATGTGTTCATTCATAGTTTTGATGCCTTCAGTGAGAATCTACAATGTAAATAGTCATGAAAATAAAGAAAACGCATTGAATGAGAAGGTGTGTCCAAACTTTTGGCCTGTACTGTACTTCTCTATGGTCAGTGTATCACCTACAGTAGATGTCAGTTGGTATGCTTCCAGTTTGGAGAGGCAGGCTGGAGTCTGAAACTGATCAGTGTTCTGCTGTAGACTGCAGTTAGCAATCCACTTAATAAAAGGCTGATGGTGAGATGGATGGAAGAGGACGGCCTAAGAGTGTGGGTGGGGGTCAAGAGTTCAGAGAGGTACAGGGGAGCTAGGTTGTGGATGGCCTTAAAGGTGAGGAGTAAGATCTTAAAGTCAACTTGATGTTTAACAGGGAGCCAGTGAAGCTGCTGAAGGACAGGAGTGATGTGACTGATTGAGAAGGTTCTGGTGGTGATGCGAACGGCAGAGTTCTGGACCAGTTGAAGTTCATGTTTACATGTAAAATGTTGTTATTAGGGTCTTTTGGTGCTCAAGTTGTCCACCATGTGACCTTGAAAATGAGTAGTCCACTGTGCAAATTTACTGTCCAACCTGTAACCAGATAAGCTAGTGTTCTAATATGTAACCCACCTACATCTATCTCCCACAATACACCATTAGATATTCTGTATATTTTTTGCTGTAAGCTATACAGGAAAGTTTTACTGTTTTTAATGATGCTGCACATCCCCTCTAGCCTGAATGTAATATAATCCCTTCTGAACAATGCAATACAGCACATTTGGAAAACAAAAAGATACATGTTATATTCCCATACTGAAAGATTTCGATAAGTCTCATTGACCTTTGCACGGATACGGCTGTACTGTATTTGTAATGTGTGGTTTTATTGAGTTTGTTTGTGCTTTGTACTTATTATCTTTATTTATGAGACAAAGACATATGGGGAAATGGGAAACAAAGATCTATTTTATTCGTTTCAATTCTATTCTAAGCAGGTCTGCCATATTAACACAGTGCTTCCTGCCTTTCTGTTCTTTCTGTCTGCAGTCACATAAATGTAATAATGGCATAAAATTGATGTTACTTAGTATTAGTTAGTTCACTTCGAACAGATTGCATTGCAGTTTACTTAGAAGATATTCTACAGAGTGTGGCTTCTTGACTTTTGTTCTCACTTGATGAAAATGGAAATAAGTTGCTTCAAACATCTGATGCTTAAAAGGGCCGCATACTCTATCACACCTCACTCAAACTCACACAGGTAGAGATGAGATTTGTTAATGGGACACTTTGCCAATTTTCCAATTTTCCAATTTTTGCCAACCTGCTTTATACCATAATAATTTGTGGAGTAGACCTATGTGTGAATGAGCTAAGGTAAAATCTCCTCTTTCTTGCCAGCGCCCAGATCTCTCTGGTCACACTTGCTGGGTGACAGATTTTCGCTGGCTCCTGGGCTGTTGCTCAAACTACAGATTGTATTTCTGCATTTGGTGTGCCCAACACCACTGACACAAAGAGCATGGAAGTGGATCGAGAGAAAGAAGTGTCTCTCAAACTCCGACCAAACTGATACTGTCAATTTGTTGCCTGTTTCTTGCTTCAAACATTTTCAGCAACATATTTTAGAGTACTGTTTAACTTCAAAACTAAATTGTTTGTTACCAGCCGGCTGTCATATTGTGTCCTGCGTCAAAACGGGCAAACTGGCATGATGTCACCCACCAGCAGGAGCGTTATTGGTCTGGTGTGGCACAGTCCATTCTGGTAGTGTGGAGGTTTTCTACCCTCTAAGCAAAAGCAGGTGCTGCAGCCATATAGCACCAATTTCAAAAGCACTTACATATTTCTACTGCATAGACATCCTAGTTTTATGAAAAGACCATCCTTCCAGCAGTGAAATACTACTCTTTTTTCTGATGCAACCGTTTCTGTTATCCTGTCTTCTCAGATTGATCACTACGCCCAGAGGGATCTGAAGAAGGGTCTCCAACTCTTTGGCACAGAGGGCAACGTGGGTCTGACCAACGCCTGGATGATAGTACAAACTGATGTAAGTTGTTTGATCACTGCAGGGGGGTGGGAGGTGCTGATGTGAAACACAAGTTGGAAGATAGTTAAGACAGAAAGCCCTCTAGTTTTAAAGGGGACCTATTATGGGTTATATAGTGTTGAAATGAAGGATGTTCATATTAAATTTTGTCAAAGTGTCATATAATTATTTAAACATATGTAGAGGTAATCCCTCTGAGCAAAAATCTCTTCAGACTGTTCTGCTTTTCCAATTGTTTTTCTACTCTAGCTACAGTATGACATCATAGTGTGCCGTCTCTGACTTCTTTATATGGTCATCTGCTTCAAGCACGCCACTGCCTTAACACTATGTACAGTGCTACATGTAGCTTCATTCTAGCGTCAGGAAAACATGTAATCTTGGTGTCAGTGTTGTAATTTTCTCCCCAATGTCAGATCATATTTCTGCTGGAACATGTCCTGTTGTGTTTCAAAGCTGGTAGAAAGTGCTGCTATTCTCCGTTACAGTCATTCCCCAGCTGCAACTATGCTCCTAACGTACATGTAACTACATGCTAACATCAGGAAAACATAATGTGGTTGCTAATGTTGTAATTTTCTCCCCGATTTCGCATCAGATTCCTGTTGGAACATGTCTTGTTTTGTTTAGAAGGTTTTACTGGTGATTTTTCATAGTAAAAGGGGCCGCTATACTCTGTTAGAGTCATTCTCTGACTGCAAGTGCACTGCTGATGTACATGTAGCTACATGCTAACCTCAGGGAAACATGTAATCTACGTTGCCGATGTTGTTCATTTCAACCCCATTTTGGATTATTTGCTTGCCGGATCATGCCTGGTTGTATTTAGTACTTTTTCTTGTTGATTCTTCACAGTAGATAGTGCAGCTATTTGCCGTTACAGTCATCCACTGGCTGCAATGACGGAGCAGAGACACCAAGATATGGAAGACCGATGCTGTGTCTCAAATCGCGTACTTCAGTACTTACATTTAATATTTTGAGTACATAAGTGTGTTCACACTGAGAAGTATGGAAAAATGCAGTGCACTGTGAGTACCCGCATGGTTCATTCAAATGGTCAAGAAGTTGAGTGTGGAACTATGGACACTTCTCGCCCTCAGTGGTCACCATCTTGGCTACGTAGCATAAGGGGAGGGACCACTTTTCAAACTGGAAATGGCGGTTGAGGACTGTGCGACCGTGAATGTCTCTGCATTGTACAAATATATGTGTTTTTTGCACTAAGCACCACTATACTGTTGTTGGGTATAAGCCAGCAGTATGTTTGTTGGGTTAATTTAGCAGTCTGTAATGATTTGGTACCGTAAACGATAACACGAATGCTAATGCTAGTTTGCTAACTAGCTAACAGCTCTGGTCGTCATTTCCGGTGAGTGCACAGCAGCCATGTTTGGTTTAAGATAACACTGTTGAAATTCGCGCACTGCGTCAATAAGTACGTAGTGCACATAGTATACTACATGGAAGTGTACTGATGGAAGTATGTGATTTGAGACACAGCACAAAAAACACTGACCATTTAGAGCAGATTGGGCACTTTTGGGAGGGTCTTAAAAGACAGATGCTAAACCAGGCCCACAGGAAGTGAACCAGGCTTTGAAGCCAATTTTAGGTAGGGACCAAACAGTGGTATTGTAACTTTCAGGATCCGCCATGCGATGCCACTGGGCCAAAAAATTCTATTCACTTGCACTGGAAAAGAGGATTGAAAATGAAAATGAAGAATCTATGGATCAAGCGCCACAACCCCCCACAGAATTACTTGTTTCACTGTCAGGATTTAATCTATTTGTTCTGATAACAAGACCCGTACGATTGAATCATCTTAAGGCCATTGAAATTAGCAGAGCACCAAACCAGGAGTAGCCAGCTTGGCCAGGGGAAGTCTCTGGTGCGCTTACTTTACAGGCCCAATAATGTGGAAGCAGCACTGATCATTCGGGTAATTTAATACTGTGTAAATAGAGCTTTTTTGGCTTTATGCGTCACTGAGCAACTTTCATAGGAATGAACGGAGTCCTGCCCTCAATTCTGTATCCAGATCTTTTCATACATCAATGCACTAAACACAGCATCTTAGACAGAAGGTGAATACAGGTGTTCCATCACAGGCATTTTGAGGAAATTAAAATGTTTTTTGACCACTAAAGCATGTAAACCTGTTGTAGTGGAAACCTTAAATACAAGTATGAACCTGAAAATGAGTATAATGGGTCCCCTTTAAGACATTTTCCCCTCTTAGTCACAGTTTGTTGAGGTAATGATGCTTTAAAAAACATTCTGTTGTGAAGATTGCAGCCCATTCAAAATTAACTTCAGTGCCATTTAGCAAGTTAAGTCATGCAAAATACCTTGTCACGAGCTGAGATACATGACGATCTGACTGCATTATTCATTGTGGCAGCGCTTACTGTTGCTATTGGCAAGGTTTCACCATTCGCACCACTGTGATCACATTAGATTAAAAGGGAGTAGTCAAACGTTGAAGGGGCCATTCGATTTTACATTTCTCCATTTTGTGTAAAATTTGAATAAAACAGTGCAATCCATCCCGCAGTTAATGGGATCTGGACATTTACAAGCAGGCTGGTAAAAAATACTGGCAATCTAAAATAAAAAAAATGGCATCAGTAAAAATGTGGAGAATATCTCAACTGACAGTAGCAAACACTCAGAGCTTTGCTAGTTTAAATGCTGTGGTAAAATGCTGTCAGAGAGATTAATGCAAACATCGTAGACTCTCTGAGGTAATCTTTGTTTCCAGCTCTCACTTTGATGTGCTTTTTCCCCCTTTGTATTATTTATTTATATTTTCTTAAATTCCACCGCAAAGAAAACACAATGTGAGGAACAGAGATTTGGAATTATGGATTGCAGAGGATGGGTGCCGCTGCTGGTGAATGCCTTTGGGAGACATCAAGTGATAGATCGGAGACTTCGGGGCTCTTTGGACCTTTTTCACATCACAGATCAGTGTTATGGCTTGTAGTTTTGTTCCATTAGCAAATGTGCGGTAAGCACTGAGTGTTGGGCTCTTGCCTGTGTGCTCGCATGTGCCTAGGGTCTGCAAGGCATTTTGTGTAACTGTGTGTGTGTGTGTGTGTGTGTGTGTGTGCGTGCGTGCGTGCGTACTGGGACTGCAAAGGCACAAATGATGACAGAGAAATGTATTGCTATGCAAATAATATATGCAAATGTGTGCGTGTTTCTGCATGTGTGGGTGTTAATATGAAGAGGTTGTTTTTTTACTGTGTTCAGAGTGATAACATGAGGTGAGTCTGCCTGAATGAGCCACCCGTTGACAATGCATGTGTGCAAGCGTGAATGTGTGCCTTTTTTCTTGTCAAGTAAGGGCAGCTGTGTGTACAGGGCTCCATAAAGTCTGGCTGAGATGAAGTCCATTAAAAGGCAGCTCTCATTCTGTCACTGTTCTCCCTCCTGAGCCTCCTTCATACATGCTGAGTCACTGAATAGATAATACAGCAGATGTCCCTGGAGCAAAGTTCACCCTGAATATTATTAATGGGCGCCTATAGAATAGAAGAGAATCTACATACAAGAGAAGAAGTAGTAAAAACACTCACAAAGGCGCCAAACACGGGCACAATAAATCAGGCGGGGTCATACTCCACGCCGGCTGTAAACTTTTCAAGGTGAAAACATTTGAATATTCCGATGCTGTGCAGTTTTTACCCTTTGATTCGCTCTCGACCTGCTTTCATGTAATTTGAATTCAGCTTTACCTCATGATAGATTGCAAAGTTGATCTTCTGTCTAAGCGGGCGAGCGAGTTTTAAATTAACACAAAATCCCTGATTCTGTGCACGAAGCGGTGTGGGGAGCGGCTCGGGTAGCATTATTCCTGTGTGGAAATAAAGTCCAGCGAGTGAACAAAACATCAGGGGCACTTTATCTTTCCATGAAGTATACTGATGAATTGGATTGTGGTGGAAGCCATGATCCCTTATCAAAAATACCAATATAATACCAATCACAGAGGGGGAAGATGTAGATAAAAAGAAGCAGGCGAGTTAGAAAATGATTTTAGGGCTTTGAGACAAATGAGATGTGGATTGTACAAAAGCGTCTGAAGCTCAGTATCAGGAAGATTAAGGGTTTTCTACGCACAGCACATATGAATTATTTTGCCCAGTGAATCTTATTCTTGGCAGGTAAATAATTTTCGTTTCCATCAGCGGAAGTCATTTATTTGATATCAAGCATTAGGATTTCAGTGTCGTGATAATGAAAGGCCAAACTCAGCTTGACTTGTTGTCTTTATCTGGTGCAGTTTCGCTGCTGCGGAGTTACCAACCACACAGACTGGTTTGAAGTTTACAATGCCACCCGTGTGCCGGACTCCTGCTGCCTGGAGTACAGCGACAACTGCGGCCTGGACAACCCAGGAACGTGGTGGACAGCGGTAAGTTCTGGCATGAAAACTAAAGTATACCTCCAAACCGGTGCTACTAATAACTTTCTAATCTTTTACAGCTTTGTATTTATACAGGATTATAAACTCACTGTTTGCTAAACCCTTTTCCCAGGGATTGTCGAATTATACCTTAGCAACCGTAACTAGGCACAGCAGGCCTGTAAAACGGTGTGCATGGGGCTGTAAGAGAGAAACTGGTATTCAGAGAGTTTGATAATCAACTTAGCGTAACGTTTAAGTTGATTATCTGCAGTGGGGAGGGTCTACCTGATCTGTACAGGGGGAACCAAGGCCCAATTTCATCTCAGGTATGGACTTTAAAACAAGAAAAACAAAAGATACATCTGAAGTGAGGTCATCACAGTACTGGTCACATTTAATTTAAATGCAAATTTGCAATGTCGAAAGGTAATTCCTCATTTAATCCCAAATCATTCTGGGACCATAATTAATATGACTTAATATGTCTGCCTTTCTTCCTGTTCTGAGAAGATTTAGAAACTCAAGTATCCAGTTATCTGTTGAAAAACAATGGCTCACAAATCATCCAATTCAGCAAAGACACAGAGACAAAAAAAACAGGCCGCTGTTTTTCTGTCTTTTCTTTGGACCTCAGCTGTGCAGCCCGAGACCCCAGCAAGCAAACAGCAGGACATAGTGAGACATTTATATTCATAATTACTGATATTGAATTAATCACCTCTCTCCAGAAGGACTTGACTGCTGCTGCTACTAATGTTCATCTGATGTATAATCAGTGTTTTTAATGTTTAGCAGCTGTACTGTGCAGAGAGTTGCTGTTGTCTTTCAGGTTGTGATTTAAGGTTAAGAAATCACCTGTATAACAAATAAAAGACATGATCTACATTATGAAATGAAATAAATAAAAAAAACTGAGTTTTAGAGGTCTAATGGCTGTGGTTTATCTCTTCAAAAGGATACTTTGCCACTGTTCAACCAGTTTTGTATCCTAAGAAAGTGGCTAGCGCCTAGATCCCCCTGCTCATCTCTCAGCTCAAATCCAGAAGATATTCTAGATTGTACTTACTTGTTTTTAATTTCCGACCACCACAGAAACAAAGAATATGGAAATAGATCAAGACTGAGACACGTCCCTTTCGTATTTTCCCTCTTTCAAACTAAAGTGCAGTTCAAACCAATGATTCGCGACAAGGCAAAACTGTTTTAGGATGTTGCAGAGAAAAGTTACAGCAGTGTGAACTGGCATGTCTCAGTTCTACCAAAGCCAGCTCATGGTCTTACCTGCGCTCAGTTTGTCAAGTCACCAGTGCCTTGTAGCAAAGTTAGGTGACCAAGTCAATCACAAACTGTCAGCAGACGGCATGTTTGCCAACTCTCTGACAACAGCTCTCTCTTCCCGCTGAGTCTGTCTAACAAACAGTCCTGCAACAGCTGACACGTATGTCAGTCTCCGTCCTCACAGTGTTTCGGTGTGGGCTGGCTATTGTGACGTATTTAGGAAAACAGTCCATCTGAAGCCGAGATTGTCCATGTTTTTGCTGCTTCATCACTACTACAAATGTGACTGTGAGGAGTATCTCACTATCACAGTCCTTATTCATATTTTAGGAAGCTACAAATTATATTCAGCTCTAAAAATAAGCTTGAAAAGCTTGAAGTTAGAATGGAAGTACATAGAGATAATACACCGTTTCATCTCATTGCATTGGTGTCTTCAAAATATTTCAGAATGGCGAATTGCAAGTTGTTGCAAGTTTCAGCTCATCTCATCCAGCCCATTCTCATTCCAACCTTGTCAAATATTACTGCTTTGTCAGTAATTTCGGCATCAGACATCAAAAAGGCACCAGATGCCAGAGGGGTATTCCAGAAAGCGGGTTTAGTGAAAACTCTGAGTATGTTAACCCTGAGATGAGGGAAACTCTGGGTTTTCAGTTCCAGAAAGAGAGGTAAATCAAACTCTGAGTCAATCACCATGTCAACTGAGTCTGTGAACTTAACCTGCTCTCTGGCAGGTTTTCTTCAATAAACCCTGAGTTTTTCTCTGTCTCTTCCCTCTTACACGCTGTTTCATTTCCTCATTCATTCAGTCCGTGTCAAAGCTTGTATCGAAGCGCATTCATTAGCGGAGATTTAACGTCCGTCACAGTCTAAATCCTGCTGGATATTAGTTTGTTATTCAGGACTGTCTGAAGTTATTGAATTTATGCACATCAATCATTTCTTTGGACATCGGTTTTTGTCTTTACATTCAAATATTACACAGTGAGAATTCACCCTCAGCTCAGAATCAAACCTCTGTCCTTTTTATATTTATTATTTTTTATAACACTGTGCACAAGGATCAGACTGTCAGTCTGTTGGAGCAGCTCCCAAATGTTTATTGCACATAATGTGTAGGTCTAATTATTTAAATTTTAAAAATCGGTATGAAGCTTTAGACACGTAGTATCAATGAATAATGACCTCTATCACTGATGTCATTGGTCGCACTGATGGAATATAATTCCTTTAGCCTAATATTGGGGATTATATGTTCATATTTCTGAGTGAGCAATGGTGCAGCATTTCAGTGTCTTTAAATTTACTACATTTGTAGCTGAAATAAAGTCACTGAATGCTGTTGAGTCAAGATAGAAATAGATGTGCAACATTTTAAAATCTATGTATTTTAACCTCAACGTCTTTTCAAGTGCAAATCACCAAACATATTATTACTGGGACAGACTGTGAGTTTACAGTCATGTCTTTATGTCTTTGATCTATAGCCTAGCCTATATGTTTTAAATCTTCCTATTTTCAGTTGCTGCCTCCTGTGTTTTCCCCATCAGATTAAATCTGAACAAATATATTAATATAATGTAATGTATCTACAGCCTGATACACAGCCACTTTATCTTCATTAAGGAAATGTAAGTCTGATAAATGATGAATAAATGGACAACACTGAATAAAACTTTTTTATTAACTTTATGGTTAACTTATTTACACTTTCCTCGCTCTGACTCAGGCTCTTCTTTTAAAGATAAACGTGCACCGTCTGCTACACATGCATTAATATCTCTACATCCACTGGATTAAAATGGAGGCGCTGTCTTTTATTTACCTGTTGCCATGGTGAATCATGGAGTCAGAGCTCCATTGATGATGGCTTTTTATTGTCGGCTTAACTCAGAGTGAACATACTCAGAGTTGACTGAACTAACTCAGATCAGCTGTTCTGGAACCGGTAACTCAGAGTTTCCCATCTCAGGGTAAATCAACTCAGAGTTCAGGGTTAGACTCAGAGTTTGTTGAACCTCCTACCTGGAATACCCCTCATGTGGCATCAGGTTGTAACAACAGCCAGTAACAACATTATATTGAGAAGAAAGGAAAATCCCTATTAGGCTGACAGAACTGACAAAACTGAGGCTTTACTGAAGTTTTCAGGCAGGGCAAAGTACAGACCAAAAATCAAGATTACCAGGCAGAGGTATAGAGGCATCAGACAAACCAGCTAAGCAGGCATGGGTCAAAATCCAAAAAGGCAATACAAACAACAGTTGGGATACAATGTAGGCAGAAGCACAAACAATGATCCAACAACAACAAAGGCAAACTGACTGGTACATGTACTGAGAGGTAAACGAGCAGACGAGCAACAGGTGTGTGGCAGACTGGCCAGGCAGGTCACTGACAGGCTGACAGTCAATACAGGGGGAGCGCCATTGGGTGTGGACGGTGTACTGGTGGGAAAAGTTGGCAGGTGCTGACCGGAGAATGATCAGAGGGGTGTATGCAGGAGGAGCAGCAGGAGGGTGGGGTTAAAAGCAGAAGGAAGCCAGTAGAGTCCATGACATTCCTCATCTGGGAGCCCACTGTTTGCTTTCTGTGTGGATGTAGAGCCAAACCATGATGTTTTTTTTCTAAAACAAACCATGTGCTTTTGTTGCACAAGGAAATAAACATAAAAATGAGGTGTTTTACCTACCTTGTCCATGTATTTTGAAACAGACCACATGCATGTAATGAGCAGAAACTGTACATTTCTTGTGAAAACAGAAGTGTACTTTGGAAAGTAACACAAGTGTAAGTTGACATGCTGTCCGTGAACATCAAAAACAGACGCAGGAGGTACCTAGCTCATCATATTTAGAGGTGAAAGTCCACTGACAAGGCAAGGATGTTTGATGAGTTGGGGTGAGAATGCATTGTCTTGTCACAAATCGTTGGTCTTGAACTGGGCTTAAGACCGAACTCAGATCAACCAATAAAACTAAGCAGTGTTGATCAAATATGAACCAAAATTCTGTTGCCTATTTCTCACCTAAAATGTTTTCAGAAACTTATTTTAGCTAATTGTTTAAGTGTAATTTGGGATTGTTTGTTTCCAGCCAGCCACCATATCGTGTCCTGTGGAAAAATGGACATGCTTGCATTACATCACCCACCAGCAAGGGCGTTTATTGGTCCGGTGCAGCGCAGTGCATTCTGGTAGTTGTCGGTTTTCTACCTCTTGAGCCAAAGCGAATGCCACACAATTTCAAAAGTCGTTACATCTTCCTACCACAAAGACAGCCTAGTTTTATGAAAAGACCATCTTTCCTAATGGTACAATACTCCTTCACAGTCTCTTAACAACTCTTAAACTGTTCATAGTCAACACAGGCTTTGTATCTTGACCAGGTTAAAACAAATAATTGATGCCTCTTTGCCACTTGCAAACCAGCTGAAAAAAAAAGAAGTTGGCACTTGAATTGAAATTAATTAGTGTCATGTGGAAAATCTGCCAAGAGGGGTTGCATGTGTCTGAGTGTGAGCATGACTATTAATGTGCAGAGAATTGCATCAGTCAAAACAGAGAAATACAAGCTACATCATTTTTGCAAGTTAGTCTTAATGAGTATGTAACACGTGTAGTGATGTTGCTACAGCAGTAAAGTATGCAAATAGATCAATCTGCACATGTAACATGATCTAGCAAGACTGCAAGGAGAGTTAATTAAGTGAGTTGTGATAATATG